CCTGCCCTTGTACCATGCCTGTTCCTCAGGACAGGAACGGGTTTCCCGTTCTGAATCATCTGCTTTAAGCTGTCTTCATCGAGTCTGTGCTGTGTCATCTCTCCCTGCTCTTTATTTAATAGCGTACAGGCAGCCAAGAGGGAGCTGAAACAAAGCTCGCTCCTGCCTGGTGCTGAGCAGGAGCTGGGATTTCTTCTCGGTTTTGGTGTGCTATTTCCAGCCTGTTGTTGCCCTTGTTCCTGCTTCTGCTGTGACACCTGTCCCCAGAAATGGTCCCTGCTGTGGCCAGTGATGCTGGCTGGACGTCGGGCTGTTCTCGGCTCGGCTCAGCAGCTGCTTTTCTCGTGTTGGCTGGCACGTGGCGGGACTGCCCCGCGCCTACCTGGCGTGACGTTTAGGTGAGTACAGGAGCTTGTTCTCTGGAGGCGGTGGTTTCTCTCATAGGCTTCTCTGTCAGGCTGGTGGCTGTCTGTGTCTGCTTTGACCTGCTCCTGGTGACAGCAAGGAACATGCGGGCAGCTGGCAGACGATACGGGGAGCAGCGATGTTCTGGGAGCAGGGCTGTGATGAGCCTCCTGGGTCGCACCCATCCCCGCATCCGGGGATGGAAATCTGGGATCAGTCAGTGAAGCTGAGGGTCAGCTGGGTACGGCTGAGGTGAACTTGTGGTGGGATGCTGGGAAGAAGTGGTTGTCTCCTGGATCTTCGTGGTGTCCCCGAAACAAGCACTCTTCGGTAGGGGGGTTGGACTAGATGACCCACAGAGGTCCCTTCCAACCCCTGCCATTCTGTGATTCTCTTTGGGCGGGTGATGCTGAGCAGTGATGCAGTGCTGGGGCTGCAGAAGTGCTGGAGGCTCCTCAGAGCAAGTTGGACAAACGTGGCACAGGATCAGTTCCCAGTGAGCTGCGTCTGCCCTGGGCTGGGTGAGGATTTGGGATCTCTTTCTATGTGTAGCCCTGAGTTCCTCCCTGGAGAAGCGTGTGTGTAAGTGTGGCTGGGGGTGGGATATCTTCAGCATGAGCATTAAAAATAGAAAATTTGGCAGTGTCTCTGTGGCTTTTCGTCTTCTGGGGCCTTTTTGCATTTCCTTCAGTTTGGAGAGGTGTAAATAAGATCCCTTTTCACTCTGTGCTTGTGCAGCAGTGCAATGCTTAGGGCAGAAGGAGCACTCTGTGGGCTGGAGGGTGGAGATTTTGGCTGCTGTGGGTCTTGTCCTGGCCCTCTGCCGCTGAGCAGAATTTCAAACGCGGGGCAGCAAACTTCTAAATCCTGGAGAGAGGTGAGATAGGAAGGAAAGCAAAAGCAGCCGCACTCAACAGCACCCAGGTTTCTCTCCCCTGTTCAGCCCCTCTATCACTCCAGTACCCACCAGCGCTTCTCCTTCATAAATCACCAATCACTGCAGGCAATAAATGCTGCTAACCCGGGAGCTCGCTCGGATGTGCCTGGTGTGACAGGGGGGCTGAGGAACGGCCCCTCCTCGGAGGGAGCATCTGGGTGTCGCAGCACAGCGAGCTCAGCCCCGTGCACCGAGAGGTCCCCCTCGCCCACCGGCGCCCACTCCCGCTCTCAGTGGGGGCTGTGGGGCCCGGCCCGGCACGGTGGGTGCCAGCCGCTTGGCAAAGACCCTGGGGGGGGTGGGAGGGGGTGTTTAGGTGTTGTGCTGCTCCCTGAGCGCTTCAAGCAGGGGTTTCTGTCCTGCTCTGATAGAAAAGAAATTACCGTTTGTTTTTATTTTAATGTAGCCATCTAAGAAAAAAATGTTAATGCTTCCAATTTGTTTGGTGTAATTAAGCACTAATTCCCCCTGCCTGGGAGGAGAGCGTGGCTGCAGGGCACGGGGGTGTTGGGTCAGCACTCTTTTGACAGCTCCCAGCTCCTGCAGTGCTGGCGTTGCTTTCTAGGGAGGTTCAGGTGATGCTGGAGAGAACGGAGACGAAGGGGGTGGGTGTTTCAGTGCTTCAGACTGACCTTGATTTTATTTAAAGAGCATGAAGGAGAAGAACAGTGAATTGCGTGTGTGCCAAGGGAGCTGCATTGAGGGAGAGCTCTGCATCGCTGCTGCTGGGGGTTGGCTCCCCGGATCTGCTGGTTCCCGCTGTCTGGGGCCACTGCTGGGCTGAGTTTGCAGGTCTTTGCTCTGCCTGTTCTCATGAAGGAGCTGCCCAGCACTCCACGGAAATACTCAGCCATCTCCAGGAGCTTTGAATCATGCTCTGTGTGCTGGTATGTTGAAAACGAATTTTTGGTAATTTTAGACAGTTATTCTCAAGGTTTGGATAGTCTTAATGACAGCAGAGTTGCTGTCTGGAACCAGCCATGAGGTTCTGCTTCTGTCAGCCATCTGAGTGATGCTGATTCTGTCTCACCCCAGGACTGCACTTTATAGTTGAAGAAATTGAGGCACAGGGCAGGAAAATGACTTCTCGGAGGTCAGGATGCAAATCCGTCACGCTCCTGGAAGCAGGAGCTGGCTCTGCTTTTCTAATTTGCCGGACCATGCTGAATTTGTCCACGGTGATGCATGAAAATTCACCTGGAAAGAAAATAAATTATTCATGAAAGCAATAGTCCGGAGCTGCCTAAACTGCCAAGGCAAAAATCCCTGAGCAGCTCCAGCTGCGGGCGGTGAAGCGCATCAGATGATGAGGGATCGGAGGGAGGGGAGGGCGGCAGCCGGTGACCCTGTCTGTTGTTTGCTGCTTTCTCCTCAGCTGCTGGGAAGATGCAAAGCGTGGCTGGACTGGCTGGGGGGTTTTTTTTTTTTTTTTTTTTGTGTTCCTTTGTGCTGTGGCCCCCACGGTGCCGGGGATGTGCGCATGTGCCCACGCTGGGACCTGCTGCTGGAGGGCTACAGCTCAAGCAGTGTTTATGGGTTTATTAACCATATTCTTTATACAGTAAATGGTGTTTAGCTGACTACTGAAATTTATTTGGGAGAATAAGTTAAAATAAACAGCCCTGCTTGGACTGATTACTTTTCATGACGGCTCAGACTTGTATGTGGAGTGCTTTTGATGGCCTTAGCTGTCTGAGACCTCTTTCTTCCATACCCCTCCTCTGAGTCACACTTTGGGGGGAGATGTAGGAACCGATGTGACAGTGCAAACTGATCTCCCCTTCAGCTGGGCCCTGTGGCTCTTGCAGGCTCAGCCCCAGGCAGAGATGAGGAGGGGACGATGCAGAGATGGGTGTGGGGATGCTGCGCTGTCCCTCTCTGAGATGACAGCAAATGCCCTGGCTGTGGTCTGAGGGCTTCTCGCCTTCCAGGGGGATCTGCCTCACTGCTCTGTGCCATGGTCCCCGAAAAGCGTCAGGATCCCCACCCGGATCATCCGAAGTGCCGGGTGATGAAGGCGGCTGTAGGTGGCTGTTGCTAAGCTACAGGCTCTGTCTGCTCCGGCTGTCAGGGGGCTGGGGGAGCTGAAGGGCTGCGGTCAGACCTGGCGAGCAAGTGCTGTGGCAGGGCGAGGGGGGGGGGGGCGGGGGGGGGATGGCCTGTTCCTGGGCCAGGGAGTTCTGCAGAGCCCGCTCGTTTACTCTCTGCTCCAGATGAGGCAGAAAGAAGCAAGTCTGGCTCTCTTCTTTGGGAGAAGGGAGTCCAACCCTGTAAGAAACCCAAGGACCGTAACGTCTGGTTGCTTTATTTGTGCTTAGGTGTCTTGATAGGAGAGAGCAAGTTGGCTCTTTGCATCCCACCCCACATCGGCACTGCTGTATCGGAAGGGGAGATAACCCCGAGCAGCAAATGGGCTGAGGCACTGGCCCTGGGCTGGGGGTCTGCCAGGAGGCAGAGGAGTGGGTCCAGGAGTGAACCTCTGCTCCAGGAACTTCCAGAAAGCTCTGCAGCAAAGCAGAGCCGGCCAGCCCTGCTCTGCTGCTGGGGAAGCTCTTTCCAGGGGCTCAGCAGGACCTCAGCATCCATGGGGAAAAGTCCCAGGGGTCTGTGCACGGGGAGAAGAGGGAAAGGCACTGTCCTAGACCAGAGCCGTGCCCAGCCCGGAGCATGCCTGCTTGGGGCTTTTTTGGCAACTGCTCGCTCTGCCCTACAGTCTGTCTCCAACTCTTCGGGCAGGCAGCTGGGAGAGCCTGCTGCGTCTGCAAGGGTAAAGATAAATCTGACTTAGTTTTAAGGGCAGCTGTTAAAACAACCCCAGTTACGCAGTGAAGGCGGAGATGCTTGGTGCAAAACGCCCCTTATTCCACGCTGGGCGAGTGAGCAAGGTGCTACCTTTGTTCCTTTCCGTTTGTCCTCTCTCTGTCCTCCTGTACTAATTAATCTCATCTGCATGCTTAATGGCCGTACTGAGAGAGGAGATGAAAAAAAGACTGTGGGTTTCCAGCCAGAGCTTGTGCCTCTCGCCCCTGGGCTGCTCTCTGGATCCCGTACAGCTCCGTGGTGCAGCCCACGGGTCGGGGCTGGAGGGGCGGGGCGGTGGCTTGCGCCTCGCCAGCCGGCGGTCACCGGAGTGGGGGGTCTCCAGACCTCCCCAGAGTCTACAGGAGGATGCACAGAGGGGTCAGAGAAGGAGGACCCAAGGAAAAGTTCCCCAGCAGGCAGGAAAACAGCCGGGGAAGCGAGCAGACGGCTTGCAGGCTCCTCAGTTTGAATGTCGCTTGGGGGCGGGGATGCTCGGGAAAGAGAACAGACTGACTCCAACCTCTCTTGCCTCTTTTTCTCCCTCACCACCTCTCTCTTGTTTTGTTTTATTTTTAGGCTCGGTCTCTGCATGAGCTTCTGGAGGCAGATCTGGAACTGCAGGATGAGCAGAGGCGCGGCGACAGGTACCGCTGGCTGCGGCTCTGCGTCGGGGTGGCTGCGGGAGGCTGCCCGGCGGGGATGCTCCTGGCTGCCTGCACCTCTGCCAGGGAGACGACGGTGCCTGCGCTTCGTGTTTCTCTCTTGTTTTTCCCTGGCACTTCTCTGCTCTGTTTTGCAGCGTAGCCAGCCCCTTCCTGCGGGCAGGGACCGATGCTGCCTCACCCCGCCGGCCGCCATGGAGTTAGCGAACACCAGAGACTTCCAGTGGAAAACCCTCGCCCCGCTGCCGAGCCGCAGGGTCTACTCCACCTTGGTGGAAGCTGGCGGGCAGGTGTTTGCCATCGGGGGCTGCGATGACAACGGGATCCCCATGGACTGCTTCGAGGTCTACTCCCCCGAGGCCGACCAGTGGACCTCGCTGCCCCCCATGCCCACGGCCCGGGCCGGGGGGGCCGTGGCCACCTTGGGCAAGAGGATCATGGTGATAGGAGGGGTCGGGGTGAATCAGATGCCGCTGAAGATAGTGGAGATGTACAACGTAGACGAGGGCAAGTGGAAGAAGAGGAACTCGCTGAGAGAGGCAGCCATGGGCATCTCGGTGACGGCAAAAGGCAAGGAGGGTTCGATCCTCCCCGGGCAGGGAGGGATGCCTGCAGGGTGATGGGATGGGGAGGGTTAGCATGGGGTGATGCATCAGGCACAAAAGCTTTCTGGACAATGTTGTTCAGGGTTATGTTGTTCTCCAGAATCCTTTCCATGCTGCTAGAAGTCGAGCCCTGTGTATTTGTCATATCCCACCTGCTAAAGGAGACTGTTCTGTAGGCAGCTGCAAGCAGATAAACCCAGAGTTGCTCTGTATCATCAGCCCTGAAGCCATGCAGGGCCATGGCTGGGGGTATTGTGATCAGGTCCATGCTCCAGGGTGTCAGATCAAACTTCTCCAGGGTTTTGTAGCAAATTCTGGTCCTCGTGCTGCAAACACTGGAAAAATGAGAATGGTGCCGCTGGCTGAGCATAGCCAGGCTGGGAGTGCCCCTGCTGAGCTGCAGAGCCAGAGGTGAAGGTCTCGGAGCCACAGAATGGCTTTGGTTTGAAGAGATGTCGCTGGTCCGAACCCAGAACCAGCCAGGAGAGAGTGGGCTTCATGGTTGTGGGCTCAAATGCTTGTACAGGAGGGGCAGTGGCCGGCTTCGTGGGGGGCTCCGACATAGCTCCCCTCCGTAAACTGAACGATTGCCTTAAATGGGGCTTGTTAAAGGCCTGCGAGGCTCTGCCTTATCAGCCCATCTCGTTTTTTAATTTCTAAGCAGAGATGTGGAGCACTGATTTCCTTTAGCAGGCTCTGCCGTGCTTTGAAGAGCCTGGGGCTGGGAGCAGTGTTCCTGAGGTCAGCCAGCTTCCCGCCGTGCCTGGGATTACCAATCTAATCTCCAGGCAGCTTCTTTGAAAGCTGCTTGGTTTGTTTGCTTAAGTGGGCTTAAAAGCTACTGTCAAGGAATGTTTAAAAATAATGTTTACCATCTTGGAGGAGTTTTTCTCTCTGAGTATAAGCTTGCCTGACAGGGTCAATTTGGTGTGAGAGGCCAGGAACAAAAATAGCTGCCCAAATCCTCGCAGCGTGCAGGCTGGTCTCTGCTTTCCCAGCTGCCTGCAAGGGCAAGGCTGCTGCCGCTGCTCTCCTGAATCTTGTCCGTGGGGCGAAGCGCTTGTTGGAGGAGGTTCTGTGGGTGCTGCAACAGGTAGGAATCTGCTTTGGAGAGCCAGGTTTGCCTTCAGAGAGGGTTATTACAGCTGATGTGGGTTTGGTGAGGAACAAGGAGCCTCGGTGCCTGGTCTCAGCTCTGAGCCCGCCGGTCCGGGTCACAGAGCTGCCGTCCCGTGCCAGCCCTCGGTGGGGCAAAGCAGGAGCTGAGCTGAGGAGCAGCAGCCCCCGGACAGGAGCGCGGGGCTGGGGGAAAGCACTGGTGTTGCTGGGGGAACTGGAAGGATGGTGCAGTCCCCTCTGCCCGGGGGTGGGAGCTTGGGACGTACACAGGGACTCGGGTAGAAGTCAAAAGTTCTGGTCCACATCATATGATGGCACATCTTTTCAGTGGTGCCCAGTGACAGGACAAGGGGCAATGGGCACAAACTGAGGCACAGGAAGTTCCGTCTGAACATGAGGAAGAACTTCTTCCCTCTGAGGGTGACGGAGCCCTGGCCCAGGCTGCCCAGGGAGGTTGTGGAGTCTCCTTCTCTGGAGATATTCAAGACCCACCTGGACAAGGTCCTGTGCAGCCTGCT